TAGCCAAATGTAACCTAAATATAAGTCTTGTACTACTTGCCACTTTCTCCAACATTTTCCCCTCACAAGGCAATTCCATTACATTTCAACTAACATCTCATCATCGCTAATCTCACATTTCTAATGAATATTGATAAAGTTGCTAAGTAAATTGTTCTAATAATTTTAACACACAGAGCATGGTGTAATTTAGTGCACCTAACGTCTAGAATATTAGCAAATCTAATTCTATCTACCCTACTCCTCAACTGTTGGTTATTCCCTCACAAAAACTACCACTTCCACAATTATTTTGGAGAGCATCTTGTTAACAATTCTACTTCTTTGATTGAGGAGATACCTTCTCTCTTTTTTTTTTTTTTTTACAATCCTACCATACTCATTCCCTTCTTCCTCAGACAAATTCTTCTAGGCTTTCCTTACTCATTATTTATCTCTATATTCCCTTAAACATCCCTTTATCTTTTTGTTTGCCTAAAATTTTTACTTAAACTTGTGCAAACTAGTTACTACCCTAGACTTCACTTTCTCTGATTCTTTTCCCTTCATCATTTTTATTTCGATAGAATATTACAAAGAAAGAACAAATGTCACTAACAAATTCAAACATCAATGGAATTATTTGAACACATGGGGCAAATTTACCAAAGTCACTAGCTTCCCACGCAACGCCCTAAGATGGTCATCTAATGTTGCATTTAATGTGTCGTGACATTTGCTTGAATACTCCTCAACTTTGTCGGCAACCACCACCAATGATGACGCGGGCTCCATTGTCTTCCAGGATAAGTAGTCAATCGTGCATGGCAAGAGCTTCTTCGCGTGAAGCAAAATGGTCATTATGCACAAACGATTTAATGCCAGAGGAAGGACCTAGTTTTAGGACGGGACCCAAGTTCTTACTAGTAAATAAATTACTGGTGAGGTATTTTTGAAAAAATTTTTCTTTTGTTTTTATTTAGACCTTAAAAATTTAAAGCTACAGCTGATGATAAAATAAATAAATAAGGTCAAGGTGCATTTTTGCACTTGAAGTATTTTTTAAGAAGCGCCCAACATTCTAATATTTTTATTGAAACATTTTTGCCTTTAAAGTTATTAAAAACAGAATATTTTTGTCCTTTCCGTCAAATTTTCTAACAATGAAATATTTAAGGCCAACGTTAAAATTAATGGAAAAGATAAAAATACTTCATTTTAATAATTTTAAGGGCAAAATTACTTAAACAAAAATGTAAAATACACCTTAACCTTTAAAAAAAATATTGTATCAATCTTAAAAAGATTTTATGTTTATTGAAGATGAAAATTATATTGAAATTTCTTAATTATAAAACTTTAATAAATAATTTTACAACTAAAAACATGAGAAATAATATGAGAATTTATTAGTTAAATTCTATTTAATAGAATTGAACGATGATGTTACTTCAAGCCCAAAATTTCCAGACAACGCAACCCGCATCAGATCAGAATATTTACTATTGTCATACCTAATAAATCTTAGTAAATAACGCAACTATAGCCGTAAAAACCTGAAGTGGACCCGAAATAATTAATTTGGAGGCAGGTACAACGATAACGACAGTTGCACCAAGTTGATATTAATTTTTATTTTGATAACGACATTGACTTTTTTTGTTTGTTTGGCCTTAAAATAAAGTTGACATTCATTTTATCCAAATATTTTTATGCACTCTCCCTCCCTCTCCCTCTCTCTCTCTCACGCAAGGGCAAATTTCAATTATTATTTTTTCCCCAGAAAACTGGACTTGCACCTCGACCTCGAGAAACAGAAATTAAGGATCATAATAAATAAGAACCATATATAAGGAAGATTATGGGAATTTAAAATATCAAATTATCGAAATTTTAATTAAAGATAAAGGTCCTTAATTGTATTATTTCTATAATTTGAAGTGCTAAATTGTCATTATCTTTCTGTTGTGGTCTTTGTTTTTCATTTCCCCAAAAATTACTACTTTAATTTTCTAAGCTGATAGTTTTCATTTCCCCAAATTCATCCCTTATGTTTGGATGGAGAGATAAGTCCATGAAAAGAAAATTAGAGGAGGAGATTGGAAGGAATTCCGAACACCCCCCCCCCAAGATTGTAAGAAAAGAAAAGAAAGAACACAAAGTGGAGAAAAAAAATAAAAGCACATATATTTTCTCCGTAATATTTTTTGCCAAAAGTGGAGAGAATCTAAGGGGGACAACGCTTTTTTCAAAATAGCAGAAAAACTTGAGGCCCATGTTTTTTCCACACGGGTTTACTTTTGTTGGGGGAGGAACTCTCATTTTCCTTTCCCTTCCTTTTTCCTCCTCCTCTTTTCATCAGGGATCAAATTTTAAAAATTTAAATTTATTTAAATATTTTTAATGTACAATTATAATAACAGTTTAATAAAATATTAAATCAGAGTCGTTGAAATTTTAATTCAACAGTGATATGAAGAGAAAAGGAGGGGAAATGAAGGAAAGAGAAAAGGGGAGGTTACTCTCCCTACTTTTATTTTTGAAGTAATTGCCTTTTTTACCTATATATTTTCTCCTATTTATTCAGTCATGAAGAGATAAAACAGTTTCTATACCTTTTCCCCTTTCTCCTATATTCTCTCTTGCTATTTTTTTTTTTCCTTTTGTTTCCTCCCTTCATTCAAACAAGCATTAAAACTAAATCAAAATAACAAATCATGCTCAAGTTTTCCCAAAATCTTCTATAGCATTTATTTGTTGATTTTTTTTTTTTTGGTATGCATTTGTTGGACTTTTAAATCAAGAAAAATATCCAATAAGATCATAAACTGGTGGAATAATGATAATCTTCATTGTAAGTTCATTTTATCAAAAGAAGCATGCTTCCTGATCTCTAAAATAAGAGAAATCCATTTTGCACCGTTTGAACAAGCTAATAAAAATCCTCAAAGTTCATCCCACCAAAAACTGGTTTTCTTATGCTACAATGAACGAGAATGTGTAATAACAGAATCTTAAATCTCAATACGTTTAAGGTAGAGATTGTGTATAAATTAAAGTCAAACAACGAAGGTAGTAAACTGTAAGTACAAACATACAACACAAGAATCAAATTATCAATCTGTCTCAAGAGGCTATCAATCCATTTAAATTGTGAAAATTTGAAAGATCAAAGATGAATGTCAATAAATCCATGAGTGAACCCGAGTGAGGGAAACTAATATGCTCTGTTAGCAACTCTATAACAGTCTCCTCAACTTGATAGATATATTTTTGCCGGTTCTAAAGGATGGGAATGCTGAGAGACAAACAATGCTTCATTGACAAACGGAAGGTTTTGTTTGAAGTTTAAACTTGAAGCCTTTGAATTTAAGATTTAAGAAAAAAGAGGCTTCGCTTACAAAGATGCATTTGTTTCCCTGCCCAGTGCTTTCTCTCCCATTAATAAGGAGCATATTCACTTCTGACTGAAACAGTTTGTGATTCAAGCACAAGAAGACACTTCATACTAGAAGTGTTTGTTGTTGTTGTTGCTGTTGTTTGCATGATTCTGATCATGCTGAGATCCTTGACTGCCATTTTATTTTTACGTACTCTAGGAAGCAAACTTTACTTCCATCCAAATTTTCAAAAAAGTTATGTGCAAGTAGTAGAAAAGATGATTCCTAGCCACTTGAAACCACTGCTGAAAAGTTCAAAATGTCAAAAATCTCATGTAGCCAGCAATATATACTTCCATAGTCATTAGCAGGGTATCATTGTAATGGTGGAAGAGGACTCACCACAAGATGGTTCAGTCAACACTGGTGCTAGGAAGAAGGCTTATAGGATGATGATCGTGATCTAAAGTTCCAAAATGCCCTTTTCCCTTATCTTGCAAAATCATGTTTGAACAAGCAGAGTTTCATTCAACAGTTAATCATTGGTATTTCACCTTGCACTCTTCACTTCATTTTTATTTACTGATATTTTAATTTTTATTTTAACACTTATCGTCCTAGTGTTTCTTTTGAACTGGAAATAAGGTCCTTCATATTTCACACTCAAGGAAGCACAAGATCCTGTCTATTTGTCACATTGTACATCACAATTTACGTCACATTCTCTCATTTGCTTGCAATAGTAAAATGTCATTTATGGGGAAAGTTTGGAAATAACATAATATTGTGAAAAAGAAAATAGACAAGAATCACTTACTTTCTACGATGTAAAACATTTGGAGAACTAATTTTGAAAATTCAGGTGCTATTTAGCAGCAACCCAATTCCAAAGACTGAAAGGTCGTCTGGCATTTTTCCTTATAATTTTGAATTTGGACATGGCTTTATTGACAGTATGTGTCCCTGAATTCTGTTTCGTCCGCATCATAGCTAGATTTCAATTGGCTCACAAAATAAATCGCACATGAAAGTCGATGATTGAAAACTAACAATTTCAGGTAAAACTTGCCCGAACATGGATCAAGCAGGGACGAAAGAGAGTGTATAGTTTGTACCTCTAGTCAAGGGTTTAAGAGAGGTTCTTGGCATGGAAGAAGAACGCAGTGCAGCACAAAATGGAAGCAATGATGGCAAAAACTGCCAAAAAAATCACGAAGGAAATCCCAGCGACCACCAAATCTAATATTCCCATCACACTCAAGCCCATCACAATCGTCATCGTCGTTGTCTCCTTACCTTCTTATTCAGCTCAAATTACTCGCTTGCAGTTGGAATGGCCGACGAAGACGATCTAACAAGCTATGATCGGGAGGAGAAGCATCAGAACAAGAGGTGTTTGTGGCCACGAACAAGAAGTATTCTTGCCAAATTTATATAAATAAATCATGAACAAGAGATGTCTAGTAATCAATCTCTCATTCCATTCTAATTAAATAAAGGATGAATAAGAGGCACTCTTGCCAGATTTATATAAGTATAATATCTTCACATTAGGCCAAAAAAAAAAGGTCCATGGAAAAACTTCACACTGGTCTGGTACGAAGAACAGAACAACGCATAATCTAATATCATGAAATTAGTCCAGCAAAACTATTCATTACTTCTATATTATGCTAAGAAGACAAAAGGACTAACTTGAGAAGTAAAAAGAATAAGCATCTCCCTCTTGTAAATTTTGCTAAATGATCTAAAATGGAACGGAAAAAATCACGAAGTGGATCTCAAACTGATAATCTGCAGAATTCCTATCTTGCTTTTTGGCCCCTTGTTCATCAAATTAAAATTTCACAAACATGGGCAGAATAGGTGCGCTGAATGTTAAAGAAACAAGAATAAAAATGATGGCAAGAAATACACTGCAGATACAGTATCAAACCAGAATGAAGACGATGTTGAAGAAGAGAAGAACTATCCTTGATGAGTCCAGGAGTTGCAGAGAGAGCACGCCGGAGAAGAAGAAGCCACTGAACGATGCTTTGGCTGGGTCGATCAAGGATGGGAGCCTCCTGAGCTGGGACGCGCGGAAATGAAAATAGATGGGAGTCTGAGCGCGAAACAAATGAGAGAAAGAGGAAGGACAGATGTTGGGAAAAAAATTTTACACCCAAAATTTCTTCACTTAAAAAAAAAATCTTATTTTTTTTCACATTTTTTTATTCAAACAGAAAAAAAAAATTATTTTCTCTCCTTTTTTTAATATTTTATTTTATTTTTACATTTTCTTTCCAGCCAAATAAAGTATCAATATCCAAAGACGATTTCGAGGATTTTAATGCATCGTGATGACTTGGATATGGCAACCCCTTGAAGGTTAATTATATTTCTGCCCCACGAACGTTCTCATAATTTACCATACACCTATCGCTTCATTTTTTTTCTTTTAAAAGATAGAATTATCAGGTTGTATTTGAATATTATTAGTTAGATTTACACGCAAGATCTAAAGAAAAAAAATTAGTCTCGGCAGCTCAACCTCTGAAATTTTCATTCGGTTAAAAATTAGCCTTTAAACTAATTATTACAATTTAATCTTTACAGATTTATCTATTTAAAATGTTGATTTTTACATTCTAAAAAATAAAAATTTAAGTATTAAATATTTTAAATGATTAAAACTATAAAAATTGAATTGTATTAAGTTAAAATTTAGAAATAGAGTTATAAGAAATTAAAGTTTTGGGATAAAAGTACAATCAAGTAAAAAATATAAAGACTAAATCATTAATTTTTCCAATAAAAAATAACTCTATTAATTTAGTTTTTATTTATTAAATTCAAATAATCAATTTTCTTTAAATAAAATCAAATTTCTTTTACATGATTTAATTATAGTTACGTGATATGGCACTCTATTCCAATATTGTAAAAACCAGACCAGTGGTTCACTAAATGGTGATCACATCAGTCTCAATTAAATACTGAGTAATATTTTAAATACTGCATATGAAAAAGATAAATTAGGTTACATTTATTCATATATTGTCACATACTTCCTCCATTCAAAAATATAAGGTATTTTTAACTGAATTTCACACTCAATAAAGTAGTTATCTTTTTTTTAACTAACTTTATCTTTTTATATTTATTTCTGTTAAACAACTTATAATAAATATAATGTCATTATCAATAGGGACACTTTTGAAAAGAAAGCAATAATTACACCTCAAAAGATTAAAAATATCTAACTTCTTAAAAAATACTTATATTTTTAAATGGAGGTAGCACATGCCTAAATATGTCCTGTAATATTTGTTGTGAACCGTGCGTACGGCCGTCTCCCGATATGATTAGTTGAACCAGCTGATGTAGTTTAATTCTACCAATGCCAACATTACTCCACACACACACACACACACACACTCTCTCTCTCTCTCTCTCTCTCTCTCTCTCTCTCTTTTTTTCTTTACAATTTTCTGGGTCAATGCACTCTCTTGCAGCTGTTTTTACTTATTACATGGATCGATCCATTTTTAGATTAAAGAGAGACAATAAATCATTTTACAAAATGCTACGCTTTATGAAAATTGATTTAACTTCTGAACCCATTTTAATTTGGATGTCTGGATAAATGCCAGGAATAGTTTCAGGAATCAAAACAGCATTGAATCAAATTTGGAAGAACAGCTACCTCAGTTGATCATCGTAGGAGAATGAAAATTAAACTTATGACAGGACACATAAGCCCCCTTCTGTTCTTGTTTCACACAAAAACAGAAAATATTCTAAAGTAGATGACTCGTGCATAATATAGAGCTCAAAGTGAGCCATACTGTTCTTAAAATCATGGCTTACGAATAATGCAACTTCCTCTAAATTTTATACATGTATTGATGACATTGATTGCTCTATGTAGACTTAATATCTTATTGCATTAAGAACTTAGCTCTATCCACCATTTAGCAGGCCCTTTAGTACAAAGAACAATGCGATCGCCACTAAGACATGGTCAATGGAGGAACCAATTTACTGAGAACTACTTCATGGGCTATCCTGGGGTTCACATTTTCCATCATTGTGCAAAAACTGGTCTCGTGCCCAAGCATTGTGCATCTAGAGCTTCCTAAAATGAACTCCTTGTATGCTTGGATGACAAATAAATCAGATTTTAAGAGCCAAACTGAACTCTAAAACCTTCTCAGTAGCCAATTGGTCCTAACCCTGAAAAATCAAACTCCAAAGGTCAATTGTTACGCGGGATTAGCTGTGAATGTAGTTGGTAGTTAGGGTAACAATATTCTGTTAGCTTCTGCTTTAAGAAGTTAGATTCTTAAGATTGACAAACCTGAGGTTGTTAAGGGCTTTCTTCGCCGGATAGGACCTAATTCCTTGCGATCGATCACGACGGCATTAGACGTCAGAAAAGCCTTGGCCACAGATGCTGAATGCTCCAGACAACATCTAACTACCTGCAAAAGTGTTCAAAACCTTGAATAATCTAACAATAGCATTATAATGGAGTTACTCGTCACCTGCATTTGGCAAGGCATGTCAAAACCAGAATTGACAAATTTGTTTGTAAATATTCCTTTTGGCTTCTACTCCTATCACTGAGTGGAAAAATTGATTATCATAGATAGACATGACTGGCTACTCTTTCTTATGCTAGATACAACGTTGAAAAGCCCAAATCTGAGCTTGAACTATTAAATTTTGACATAATTTACATCCCCATGACAATTCATTTCTGTAAAATAGTTTGCACGTTATCCATTTATCTTCTTCTGCAAAACATATTCAAATGCTAACAAGTCATACCTTTGTTGGGTCCATTATCCCAGCCTGCATTAAATCTTCGTAAGAGTCTTCAGCAGCATTGTAGCCAAAATTCACGTCATCGTTTGATAAAATCTGCAAGATTTGAGGCATTCAAGATCCATTGCCGTGGGTTACAAACTACAAACCAAACAGAAGACCTTAAAAGCTAATGTACTAATTAATCTCTTACAGAAAACAATCTCAATACATTCAGGACCTTATCAATGACAACATTGCCATTTACACCAGCATTTTTTGCTATTAATCTCGCAGGATAGCTCAAAGCTCTTCTGAAGATCTCAGCTCCAATCTGCAGATAATGGCTTCAAAAATAATTGCGGTATCTTGAGTAATCTCCTATAGCATAGTACTTTTTCTTTACAATAGCTTTTTCGATAATTAGCAAATAATATTTAGGAATTTAGAGCATTGTTGGGCCCAGGACAGCATTAATCTTATAATAGAGAATAATACATTTAAATATGTTTGATTCACATTTCACTTCAAAATCTCAAAGCGCTAAGATTTTTAGTCCTGCCACATACATACCTCTTTTTAACATAGCTCTATCTCATATGAGGCTTCAATACTTCTTCCTTATGGAATTTCTTTTTGCTCACAACTTATTTTTAAGAATTTACAATTTAATCTGTTAAAGACATGTCATTCAATTGCCATTTACAAAAGTCCAATAATAGCCTAATAATAGTCCTATAATAAAAGTATGGAATATCCAAACTTCAATGGGGGGGAAAGTGAAAATGAGAAAGGAAAGTTACTTTCTGTTCTTCATTGTCTAGGAGTTCTTTGATACTGTCCACCTTCTTGGACAGCCTTAAAAGGCTACAGCCACCACCAACTACGACACCTTCGTCAATCGCTGCCTGCAATGAAACAAGTTAGAACCTCCATACTTGAGAACGTATCACCTTGACAGAGCAAAGAAAAGGAATACCTTGGTTGCATTTAGAGCATCTTCAATTCTTAATTGCTTATCCTTCAACTCTACTTGTGTTTGTGCTCCTACCTGTAACTCAAGTTTCAGAAAGTATAGTGTTAGTCTCTAGCTTACATAAAAAACATAATTTTTAAATTCCCAATTATCACCAGGCAGAATTTAAAAAATTCATATTACCTGAAGAATGGCAATGCCCCCAGATAATCTTGCTATCCTTTCATTCAATATCTTCTTTTGGAAACTTTCTTCAGTGTTCTGCATTATATGAAGCAATTTTTCCAACGATCAACAGGATAGGCAAATACATCATTCCTATAAAAACTTTGCACTTGTCAAGGGTGAATGTGTTTCTGTATGAGGTGATGAATTTCAACTGGAATATTTCTGTAGTGATGAAGCTAGATGCACCTCAACAAGCTTCCTAATTTGAGAAACCCTCTTCTCAACAGCAGGCCCAGTACCCCCATCAGTAACTATCAACGTTGAATTATTCGTTATGACAACTTTAGTCGCAGATCCTAGAACATCCCTGCTAGCCTTTTCTAGGGTCAAACCCATCTCATCTCTAATTACAGTGCCTGCAAAATAAACAAAGAGTTCATAATGTACAAGAGTAAAGATCTGATGACGACTTTAAGACTATATAAGTTCTTATAAAGAACAAAAGGCAGACCATAGAAAGAAAACGGTGATGGTTTCCACTATGCGTTTTATTATGATATGAACCCTTAGAAAACCATACTCTAAAAGCAACCCAATGGTTCATGTGAGCCTCACATCAGAATCCCATACCTGTAGGTGTCAAATCCTGTGCCTTGCAGTGGCTCATAATATATTATGATGAAACAAGTGAAAATTACTGCATTAGCATTTTATCTTTTGTATTTTTTCCAGTTGTTGATTGCTTCTCTAGTGTTGCCTCTGTCAATAGGGATAAAATTTAGACACTTAAGCCTCTACCTCCAGTCAAGGTGGCAATGTCATCTAAGTAGTGGCTCTTGCGCTCACCAAAGGCAGGAGCCTTAATAGCAGCTGCCTTCAGCACACCCTTGAGTTTATTTCTAATTACTGGAGCTAGCGCTTCCTGCTCAATGCCTTCTGCAACTATCACGATTGGATACTTCTCTTTCACAGCATTGTCCAATATTTTAAACAACTCCTTTGGGTTTGTGACTTTTTTGTCAACCAATAGTAACTGCAACCAAAGAATTTTGCACCATCTAATTATTCCATAGAATTCATGCCAGGCTTTTAAACACTTGTTGTCCTACCTTGCAGTTGTGGAACTCCACAATCATCTTTCTTCGGTCAGTGACAAAATATGGAGACATAAATCCACGATCAAACTGCA